TATATATATATATATAATAAATATAAATACGTTTAATAATATGATTTTAAATTGAATCGCAAAATGTGCTTTGGTATTAATCACAATAAAAGAAATAATAAGAAATGATTTATATATTAGCTGTTAATATTGAATTTCTGTTAATCTCATTTTTAATTAATATATTTTACTGGTGAATTTATTTTGTTTTATATTTTCAGCAATGAATCCTATGCGATCGACAACTTTCCGGAGCGGTGAGGAATCAAGATCAACACGTAACGAAGATAATACTTTTGCAGTTTTACGTTCAAGAACCGAAGAAGAGAAGCAAAGACGCAGACGAGAATGGCAACGCCAGCAAGAGCGAGAGAGACAACATGAAAAATTGAAGCAGCAAAAAATTTTAGAATATGAAAGGAAACGTGCACAAGCTTTAAAAAAATATGCTGAGGAAAAATCGTCACGTCACAGTCAAAGTAAAAGTGATAGTGAGTCTCCCACGCATGTTCGATACAGAGGTAGATCTACATCAACTGCTTCCAAATCTGGTAGCCTCCATGAAAAGTGAGTGTACGATATATACTTGTATCTTTATTATGTCCAAGTATTTATTGATATTTGATTAAAATAAGGTGACTTGAAAACATATCCAGAAAGAATTTCAATGAATTAAAAAAGATAATTAGTATAACAAAACAAATTATTTTTAGAGAATATTACTTACATAATAGTAAAAATGCATTCATATATTAGAGCAGTGTTATTACATCGTTTATTGAAGATTGTTTGGCCATTGTTAATTATTTATTACATAAACAGTGACACAGATGATAGTAATGATATTTTTTATTTAATTATTTTTTTAAATAATAAAAAAGACATGACATTTTATTGAGAAAATAGAAAAATAAAAATATTTTTTTAAAGAAGAACAAAAAAAGAACAATTTTTTTAGAAGGATATATCCATAGAACTATTTTCCTGAAAAAAGGATCTGGTTATTTTAACAGTAATAATTACAATTAATTTAACATATTATCAAATTCTCTTTAGATTAGATGAATCTACAAGTGGAACAGTACCTTTATTTAGAGGTCCTCAGAATGCACAGATTGATACTTCGGAACTACGTCGAATTAAAGTAGATATTCATAGGAATATTCCTGCAAAAGGACCTGTTACCGAATTAGAAAGAGCTATACTTAATCCTGAAGATGTGATCGTCAAGAGAAGAGAGGGTAAACTGTTAATTTCTATCTTTATGATTTTCTAAAATTCTTATTTTTGTAAAAAAATTATTATTTAGCTCTGCAGTAAATGAAGAATTGTGTTACAGATAAAAAATTGACTGTATCTGCAATAATAATGATGTGTCTCTATTGTATCAATAGCACAAAGGTTTGATATATAAGCACTAGATGCATCGATAGGTTTATTCTTTACATCTATGAAGAATTTACTATCTAAAAAGATCGATAATGAACTCCCTGAAGACGACAAGCAAGAGAAATAATGTAATAATGATAAACATTGCAAATCTGATTCAAGAAATTTTTCAACACAGGAAGAGTATTTTATCCATTATTTTTAACTTATGATTTTTTCACAACAGATGTAAAATATATATATATTTATGCAGAAACTTAGAATGTTTTCCTAAAGAGAGATTATGTCGCAAATCGAGAAGTATGTTTAACTAATTAAATAATATTCAAACAGTATCTAAATAATTTATTGCATATTTGATACTCTTGCAGTAAGAGACTTGCTTAATGCATGTACATTTCAAATATAATATTTGTTTCAACGATAATTAATTTTATTTAGATTTCTAAGCTGTATGTTTATTTTTTTATTGAAATATTTAATTAAGCGTTATTTACTTATACTAAAGCTATATTTAATTAAATCTTATTTATTTATGTTTTGTTCAAAACTTCATTTAACTGAAAACATTATTTCTATAGGAATATTCCTGTAAAAAGACTGAGCACGAGCGTAGCATGGAAGACAGCGCGTAAGTCTACCTTGTTAGAGAAGTTCGATTCCTGATAATTCTATGAATTTTTCACAAGCTCATAGCTCCTCTTCGGTCTGGCAAACCACCAAGAGTATCTATTGCCGAGAACAAATCTCTTAACGCTGCGATTCCGGCGTTATAGATCCCGTATGTCTATACAACCGCATGCACATCACGGGCACACGTACGAGAGGCCCGGTTCCGACTTCGAGTCATCGGAAAATAAATGAAATGTAAAAAAGCCGAATTATGAAGAGATATACTTAATCTTGAAGATGTGATCATTAAAAGAGGAGATAAACTATTAATTTCTTTAAAATCTTTATGATTCTATAAAATTCTTATTTTTTGCGTAAAATTATTATTTAGCGCTGCAATAAATGAAGAATTGTGTTACGGATGCGATACTAATGTGTCTATTGTATCAATAGCACAAAAGTTTTGATATGTAAGTATTAGATGCATCGATAGGTTTATTCCTTACATCTATGAAGAATTTACTATAAAAAAAAATCGATAATGAACTTGAAGATGACAAGCAAGAGAAGTACTCGTAATAATGATGAACATTGCAAATCTAATTCAAGAAATTTTTTAACACAGAAAGAATATTTTATCCATTATTTTTGACCAACTTTTTTTTCATAAGAGGTATAAGATATATATATTACAGGAATTTAGAATATTTTTGAAATAATGTTATTTCATAAATCGAGAAGCATGTTTAATTATAAACAAATAATATTCAATTTATTGCATATTTTATACTCTTGCTCAAGGCAAGAATTAACTCATACCAGGTTATATTTCATATGTAGCATTTGCTCTAATGCGCATGCGCGATAATTAATTTTATTTAGATTTCTAAGTTATATGTTTATTTTTTTAATTGAAATATTTAATTAAGCATTATTTATTTATACTAACATTTAATTACGCTTTATTTACTTCTGTTTGTACAAAATTGTACTTAAAACGTTGTTTCTATTACTTCTCATTGAAATAAATTACATAATTCGAATTTTATAATTCATACATATTATATTACGTGCATTCCTACAAAAAAATTGTAAATTTGTAAATATGATTACGTATTTTAAAAATGATTATGTATTTTTTTAATTACTATAAAACTATTCATATATTAATTTAAAAATATTGCTTCACAGAAAATATAATTACACAAATTTTGAAGAGTAAATGATTCTGAAGTCTGCCCACAATGAAGATAAGATTAAACTTTTCATGATTCACTACCACGAACGAAGAATAGAAAAAATATATAGATATATAGGATTAGATGTACACAGAAACAGGAAAGTTTTTTAATGATTTATTTTTAAATTGATTCAATATAGTGAGATAATTTATACAATTTTTAAGTGAATTTTTTTATATATGCGAAAAATTTTTTTTTAAATATTAATTTTCATTATAGCATATTGTTTTAATAATCAGTTTATACAATATTTTTTATTTAATTTGAATTTATTATTACTTACGATTAAATTGTAAGATGATGGAAAATATTTTAATTAAAAATTTTACTGCTATTTGAGGAATATCCTAATGGAAGATATTTTCTTTCACGGAAGATACTATATTAGTGCTATAAAAGGGAAATAAAGATGATGGAAGATAGCCCACAATGAAGATCAGGTATATAGAAATATATAAGAACAGGAAAGTCTTTTAATTATTTGCTTTTAAAATTTATTTAATGTAATATGATAACTTATACAATTTTTAAGTAGATTTTATATATATGTGAAAAATTTTAAGAATAGTAATTTCCATTATATTATACTATAATGTAATATTGTTGTTTCAATAATCAGTTTATATAATATTTTTTTATTTAATTTAAATTTATTATTACTCATGATTAAATTGCAAGATGGAGAAAGATACTTGTTTGACTAATATTCTCATGGAAGATATTTTCTTTTATGAAAGATATTAGTGTTATAAAAGGAATACAAAGATTATGGAAGACAGCCTACAATGAAGATCAGGTAGATATGTAAGAAATAGATATGTAAGAACAGGAAAGTCTTTTTAATGACTTCTTTTTAAAATTGATTTAATATAGTTATATGACGTATACAATTTTTAAGTGGATTTTTTATATATGCGAAAAATTTTAAAAATCGTAATTTCTATATTATATTTTCATAATGTAATATTGTTGTTTCAGTTTATACAATACTTTTTTTTATTTAATTTGAATTTATTAGTACTCATGATTAAATTGTAAAATGAAGGAAGATATTCTGAATATTTTCATGGAAGATATTTTCTTTCACGGAAGATATTAGTAAAAGGAATACGAAAATAACGATATAAAAAAACCTACAATGAAAGATAAAGTTGAATTTTTTGTTAAGAAACATATAATATTTAAAAATAGATATGGAAAAATCTGCTTTTTAAAGCTTTTTTAAAAATCAAGCTTAATATAAGCGAAATTTAAAATTATATTTGAATGTATAAAAATTTTAAAAATAATTTTTATTATAAGTATGTGGAATAATGGAAAATTTCGGGAATTTTACTTTTATGTTTTTATGAAATGAATACTTTCTGATATTCAAACGTATTATTTTTCAATATAATTATAAATTAAATATTTAATAAAGGATCAGATGTGAAAAAATATATGTGATTTATTTTTAGCAATTGTTTTATAATTAGTTTCGGAAGTATATGTGCATACATATATAGAAAGTAATGATAAAGCTTTCGCGTAGGGGCAGAATGGATTAAACTGAGAAGAAAAGTTCTCTATCAATTTTCAAAAGTTAACAAAATATTAATTGCTAAAAATTGTCGAAAGTTGATCTTTAATAATTTTTTACTCAAATATTGCCAACTTTACAGAAAAACTGCAAGAGACAAAAATTATTTTTTTTTTCTCATAGAGCTCTTTTTTTTTTTTTAGAATTTTTTTAGAATTTTTTCAGAATTTTTTAATACGCTATTTTCTCATTTTGATAAAAATGCAGTAAAAGTACTAAAAAGTTGATAAAAAAATTTGTAGAGTTATATAGAGAAAAAAATAAACAATTTTCGTTTCTTGCAATTTTTTTGTAAAGTTGATAATATTTGAGTAAAAAATTATTGAAGATCAATTTTCGGCAATTTTTAATAATCAATATCTTGTTAATTATTGTGAAAATTGCAAAATGATAGAAGACTTTTCTTCTTAATTTAGTCCATTCTGCTTCCATGCGAAAGATTTATCATTATTTTCTAAACACTTTGTATACTTCCTTAAACTATATATGTTTACATGTTGTAAAATTTTGCTTTACAGAATGTTAGTATATTAATGACACAAGATATGGTCGAAGAATGTCTGCAATGAAGATGTAATAAAATTGTGCATAAGACAAGAAATAGGTATGGAAGTTTTTTTAATAATAATTTGTTCCTAACATTAAGATTGATTAAGCCCACAAGGAATGCACGTAATATGGATATTGTAATTTTAATATTTATTATGTTTTTTGTTACATTAATATAATTAATGCAAATAAAAATTTGTATCCTTTGAAGACAGTTTATTTCTATAAATGTAAAAATTTAAATTATAATTTTTGCAATAATATATATGATGTTTACTTTTCAGAATTTTTTTCTACATTGATATTTTTATTCAGTTATCCCGCAATTTTTAAATAATTTTAATAAAATTTTTGAAAAAATTAAAATATAATCACTGAACAATCATTCAGAAATAAAAGGATAATATTATAAAGATTTAAAAAGTATGAAATTGCTATATAAAAGTTATATATTGAATATTATTAATAAATAATTTTTTTTAATTATTGCTAAATTATTAAAATAAATAAATTTTAAGAAATTGATCAAATATTAATTATATGACTGTAAATTATTCCAATAGCGTCAACAATGGAAGATATGAAATGTCCTTAGAAGAGTGATACATTTTTTTCGTTGGAAGATGATTTTCTAGTTATTATGGATATTGTTACTATTCTTTGCGCAAGATTTTATTATATGTTACATTATTTTTCTTTTTTCATTTTAAATTCTTGCTTAATTATTAAAACATAAATTTTAAGAAATCGATCAAATATTAATTATACGATTGTAAATTATTTCAATATCGTTAACAACGGAAGATATGAAATGTCCTTAGAAGAATGATACATTTTTTCGTTGGAAAATGCTTCCCTAATTATTATGGATATTGTTACTTTTCACGCAAGATTTTACTATCATTGTTACATCATTTTTCTGTAGTTAAGCTAAATAATATATGACAAATTACAAGTTTTAATCAAATTTTAAAGGAGCTAGTAAATCATTACGTAAAACAGTATTCTTAAAGTTTTTGTATATTTACAAAATAATTAATTTAGCAATCAAACATTACATATTACAGTATAAATGAATGTTAATTTTATATTTAAAAAGAATGATATATAAAATTAATGCAAAATTAATTGATACGTTTTAATCTTATGCATATGTGTGTGCGTGTGTGTGTGCGTGCGTGCGTGCGTGCATGCGTGCGTGTTTGTGTGTGTGTGTGTGTGTGTGTGTGTGTGTGTGTGTGTGTGTGTGTATGAAATCAATGTTATTATTTATATGTAATATGTGAATATCAGAACATATTTGAAAATCATCAAAATTATAATATTTTATATACAATAATCAATAATTCTGCCAATATAATTTTTATTTTTTATTCAAATGCTAATTTATATGTAATTATAAAATACTTTATAATATTATTATAATAAGCGAAAAAGATTTTATTCTTCTCAAAGGTTTAATGATTTATTGCAAATATTGTATCATCTAAAATTTATGCAACTTTTTTATCAAAATTTGTATTTAAGTCTTTCTATATTTATTATATTTAGATTAGTTTGTTTAGAGATTGTAAAATATTATATTGTACTGTCATAAATCTAGCGAAAACAGAACTTAATTTTTAAAGTAAATCTTATTTTAATATTTTTGTTACTTACAAGACCATGTCAATAGCAATATTGCTACTATTATGATAATAGTCAATAACAAATAAAACAAATTTAAAGCGAAGACAATATAAGAAATTTAATTTAGATAGATGAGAAAGATAAATCATAATTATCTGAATGTCTCCATTTATTCATTATACACACGCGCGCGCGCGGTGTGTGTGTGTGTGTGTGTGTGTGTGTGTGTGTGTGTGTGTGTGTATGTATATATTAAATTATTTTTCATCATTAAATAATGTAATAAATTATATAGGAGAGGGATGTAAACCAATATTCGATAGGGAAGAATTAAAAAAGATTATAAACAAGACTAATGAAATAGAGGAACGACGCACAGTTGTAGCCATAGATAAAGAACAATCGGGTATGTATTACACAAATAATTGTTATTTATTATTAGTTTTTACATTAAAGAATTTACCAATTGAAGAATTAAGTAATGAAGTAATGAATATAATGAATATAATGAATATAATCAATCTAAAGTTGCATTTGATTTTTTTTTCGAAGTACATGAATTTCTTTGATTAAGAAAAATTTTATTTAAATAGAAAATATAATATACTTGAGCTTCATATATACATATACATTATATACATATACATAATATATGTATATAATATATATAAATAGATATATGTATACATTTGTAATAAAACATTATATCATATAATTATTAATATTTGATCAATTCCTTAAAATTTATGACATATCTCTTGGCTAAAAATAAGATAAAAATATCGAAACTGTAATATTTCTCAAATGGGAAGCTATATTTATAATTATCGAATTAGATAATTTAAAGACCGTGTGTTTGAAGACAAATATATCACAGGGTTATGTTATTTTTCTATAATTATGAAAGTTTTTTCCTGATTTTTGAGGTTCAATAATAAATATTACAAAATATGGTATTTAAAAAAAAATGTACATATTTTAATACTATAATATTATACAGCCTCGACAATCAAGTCACGTTCTTTGAGGAAACGTTCTTTATCTTCGAGTCCTATTAGGAATCGTGTCTATTCTGGATACCCATCTTCCTATCAATCCAGGTTCGTTATACTCATTACAAAAATATTCTGTATGCACTAAATGTACACTCTTTAATCTATTTCCTTGTGATTATAGTCGTCGCGTGGATTTGAAGCACCAGGATAAGACAGAAAAATGTGATACTCGTAAAGATGATGGGTAAGCTTTATTTATTTATTTATTGAGATAAAGAAAGTTTATTTTTGAAATAATGAAGGATACATACAAACAAGTATTACGTATAATAAAAACAAGTAAGGGAGCGTTTACACTGGCCGTAATCGTATGATGTTTTTCTACAGTTATATTTGAAAAGTACATTCTGTTACTTTATTTTAGGAGAAGCGATTTAGAGAAACGCAGAGAATATAAAGAGAAATATACCGAAAGAGATGGCGCAAATAAGCATGATAATAATCGATCGCGTTCTAGAGAACGAAACTCACATTCCAGGTATAGAATATAATCATTAACATAGATTATTATTTTAAATAAATAAATATTTTTATTATGTTAAACAATCTAATTTTTAGTCTATTATGACTTGTTATGGTTTGGTGCTATCAGACTTAATTGATTTGTAAAATGTACGACAAAGGCTGTGTTCCAAAATTTACTGCTGTACTGAAAATCTACAAGGTGTGCCGTTCGGTTAACTCGCGATTTGTAGATCCGGGTTTAATTCCATCTGCGCTCATATACGCAATTTTTTGCGTTTAAGGAGCCGAAAATCAGTTCCATCTGATTATTAAGAGATCTTTGATCTTTTATCAGTGCTGTTCGGATTCGGTATTAATTTATAGGTCCCATATAATATCAATGGTGCATATATGTATAAATCTTTCAGTCTGGAGATTGGATATTAGGCTAACAATCTAATTCCAAATAAAAATCCATTACGAAAAAAACCTCATAGGTCCTATCCTGCCTTGGGATGTTGCGCCATCAACGATTGAAAATCTATAGTGCTCGTAAGGTAAATTATGGATTTTCAGTACTGGCAGTAAATTCCTATATAACGTGCATGCTGCATAAGATATCTAATAGACGTCTTTTATAGCATTTTCAATCCAAGCAGATTTGCTCCTATTTGGGTTGGATAATGTTCTACTATTGATGAATGTTACATATTCCACCAATAGAAGAGCATATAACATCATTAATTCAAGATTGGTGCAAATTCGCTCGGGTCAAATACGCTAGACTGCATCTTTTAGAGATATCTAAAAGACGTCTTTTAGATATCTTATGCAACATAAATATTATCTGAGTTTAAGAACACAGAATGACAAATCATTGTTGAATAGGATTGTGAATAGTAATTTATTAATTACTTTTATTACAATTATTATTATTACAGGCCATTTATTGAAGAGAGATCTTATCGCGACAGATATCGTGAAAGATCGAATGAACGTTCTTATGAAAGAAGAGATAGAGATAGGGAGAGAAACAGAGAAAGAGATAGGAATAGAGACAGAACTAAAACTAGAGATAGATCCAGGGAACGAAGAGATATAGCGCCACATTATATCGAATCGCCAATACCTGTACCTATCTATTATGGTGTAAGTAAGATATATGTATATAATCTTGACTATCTTTTAATGAATGTTCCTAAACTTTGTTGGACTTTCTTGTGAATATATATCTCTACTAGAGTTTTCCTCCGAGACCTATCGTAGTAAGCCCTATGGTTCCATTAAGAGGACAAATTCCTCCTATGGGAAGAGGCAGACATCCTACTTTAATGGCACAAGTTAGACCATTTCCACCAAGATTTCCTCCAGATATGTACAGATTGGGACATCCACCTCCAAATCCAAGTAAGTAAATATATATATATTCATTATTCATTCGATGACGCAAAATCCCAAGGCGAGACAGAGTATATCTCTCATGAAATTTCCGTATGCATTTTTTTTCCGGTATTAAGTTGTTAGCCTAATATTTCAGCCTGGGGAATGTGCACGTATTTCCACTGATATATAGAACCTAATGCCGGATTCGAACGGTGCTGGTGATCAAAAATCTTTTTATCATCAGATGAAGCGATTTTTGGTTCCTTAAACGAGAAAAATCGTACGTGGGCGCAAGTGGGATTGAATACGATCTATAAATCGCGAGTCAATCACACCAAGCGACTCGACGTCTTCAGAATATTTTATATGTATATATATATATATATACATATAAAATATATAATTATACATGTTATATATGTGTAATTGAAGCTTCTCTACATATTTGTATTTTAATATGCGTATACATATGTATGTGATAAAATTTCAGGATATGGACCATTTTGAAACGATGGATATCTTTATACATTATCGAGAACATTTTATGAAGACAATATCAATATATAATCTATTTTAATATTTGCTATATATTTGTGAGGACCTATTGGCTAATATATTTTTCAGTTATTTATTACTATCTTAGATATACATTTAAGATTTTACTGTATTAGAGAATGTAAAATGAAGCTATCCCAAGTAGCACACAGCGCTTAACAAAGCGCTAAAAAATCGCATACAATCGCTTTACAAGTGCTGCTGTACTACTTGGAATATATCCACGATGCCAGAAATTGTTCCGAGATCTCCAAAAAAAAGTTGGCCAATTGCTCAATTGATTGAATTGTTCGAACATAATTTGTTAATTCTTTTTTTATCTGAGATCTCGAAACAATTTCTAGCATCGGAAACATAAGGCTTTAGAATGAATATTATACTGTTTAGATTGAATAATTTATTCATAGGTTTGTTTGCGTTGTTTGAAATTCCCAAGAATTTTGACACTTAAAAAGATGAAGATTGAGATAAATATATATTTGAGAGAGAGAGAGAGAGAGAGAGAGAGAGAGAGAGAGAGAGAGAGGGGGGGGGGGGGAGAAAATGAAGATGCAAGCAACACAAACAGAGCTGTGGTTTTGTGTAATTTCATATTAAGTTACGAAATATAAATAATATAATAATAATAATGTAAAGTAATATATAATACTATAAAGCATATATAATTTATATATAAAATTTTCTATATAATATGGAATATTATTATGGAAGTATATTGTATATAGGTATACATATTAGGGAGTTTTTGCAATACCGTTCATCCGGTGAACGCTAAGTCAGATATCTTCTTTTTAACAATTACTTAAGAAAAGGATAATGTTACTTTAGCGTTCACTATATCTAGATTCACGTTATATCCAAAAATTCCCTATTCTATTTCATGCAGGAATTTATAATTAGTACCTACTATGCATTCTGTAAATAAACTTGAGATGTTACATATAGGAGATTTCAATAGATTCAAATTTATTCATTTTTTATTTAAAAATATCCATTTTTATAATACAGCAGGAACGAAATATTAGGAAGCATAGAAAGTTTTTGCAATATCGTTTATATAGTGGAAGGAAACAATGTGAGCCATAATGACGGCAAAGGGTGATGGATGACTTGTCAACCAATTACAGAGGATCCTTTTTTACGCACAGATTTCAAATGTTCACAGATGATTACTATTAAAAATATTACAAACTTTAACATTATTATTAAACAGAAATGAGATTGCACGAATGTGTCAAAAAGATGCCGCCAAAGAACAGTGAATATATTGAATTTTCATAAAATGGCCTCCCTCATGATTGGTTGTCTGTTCCCCACTACTTTTAGACTGATTCACTGTTCGCTCCCTATTACTTTTAAGCTACTGGAAATACCTCAACTTTTTTCTTTTCACCATCATTTATATCATGGTGGAATTATAGAAGGTGAGCTATTCGCAGCTATGCGCAGTAGCTTAAAAGTAGTGGAGAGCGGACAGTGAATCATAGAGGATTCATTTTATGAAAATCTAATATGCTGTGTTTACTATTTCGAAGTGTATGGTGTTATATTTATAAATAAATCCTTCGTGATTGGTTGACAAAATATATCCCTCCATTTTTTTGCCGCTATTATGCATAGCTCAGCAGTTATCATTCCATTATGGTTTATATATATTTAGATATGGCCGTGGAAGAAGATAACCTGAGAAGATCTAATATTATCTGATAATGTTTTCGGCCCGATCGGGTTTGTATCAACTTGAGTTAGAAAATTCGCTATAGGTTGATATTACACGTTCTACTAATAGGAGAGCACGAAACATCATTACTTCAAGGTTAGTGCAAACCTTACTCGGATGGTACATACCATAAATGTAGAAGTCCTCAAGTTATAAGGAATTGACCAATCACAGTTGAATGTGAAAAAAATTGAATATAATATAATTTAGTTCAATGATTAAGTTGATTTCTTACTACACACACACACACACACACACACACACACACACACACACACACACACACACATATTAAGCCAATCTGAAGCTTGCATTGAAATCAATGCTTCATATTAGAAATAAACTTGAAATCGACTTGCAACTAATATATAATTTTAGAGGCTTGACATATAGACTCTATTACACATAGACCTGTGTGCAGAACGCGCTTTTATCTCTAAAATTCTATAGTATGCGTAATGTAAATTATAGCATGTTAGCGCACTCGATGTAAGCGCGTTCTGAATGGGTCATAATTTCTTACTATACGTAATTAGGATTAAAGCCCGTATCAGGCTCATATTGAATCAGTCTTATGTGATTGGTCTATTATTAGGGGGCAGTTAGAGTCGACAGTGGGATCGGCTTGCAGCGATAATCTGATACGGGCTCAAGGACAAAACAATCGTAAGGGACTTCGCACAATAAAAGGAACAGGGAACAGAGAACAGAGAATAAGAATTTCAACCTATCAGAAATTATGTATTGTGGAATACACAGTTTCTGTGCGGATGTCCCTAACTAAGTCGTGGAACGTAAATCGTAGTTGTAGATGTGGGCCTTTTCTAATAGAATCATAAACAGTAAATCGTAAGATTAGGTCACTTTATTAGAAAACTTAACCAATCCTAGTCAATTATTCTTCTTACGCTTAAGTGTGATTGGCCAATTTCTTACGGCTTATGATCTGCGACTCTATTGTAGAAGATACATGACAAAACATTGTGCGTTGTGACCTACGACTCACATTTCACAATTCAATTACGACTACAGTTCTTCTAGTAAGAGTTAAGACATAAGAGCGGAAGAACGCCATTACCAGGTACTGGCCGGAAAGCAATTCCATCATGGTTGACAGTTGATAGTCCAATTTTGCATCGAGCTTTCTACATCAAATAGTTGCTCACACCAATTCACAGATTCACTGTCACACCAAAAGTATCCGCAAATGGCAGCGTTTCAAGGAACTCGAAATCTGATCAATCACGAGATCGAAGCCCATCATGATATGAACTTCCACGTAAATACACTGGCATGGAGGAAAATTTGTTGTTGTTTTGTGTGGCCGCAACTGATTAGCCGCCATTTTGTTGAGACAATGGCTGCGTTCAGCAGAGAAAGCAGCTTTGAAACCTATAAAATTCTTCAATATGATTGATTTATACGTTTAGATCTGTACGGAACCAAAAACAAGAATCAATCGTATTGAAGACTTTTATAGCAAAGCTTTTCTCTAAACGCAGTCATTATTTGAGCGAATCAGAAGCATTTGTGCGAAGGTGCTAATTGGTTAATTTTTGACGATTTTAGGTTTACTATATCCACTGTATTACACCTACTATACCCACTACAGTCGGTCACAAAAAGGTTGCAACTTTTTTTTTCGATTGGTTTTGGAATGCAGCTTACTCACCGAACGATTGGTTCTTATTTGTGAATTCATAAATAAGAATCAATCGCTCGATGAGCAAGCTGCATTTCGAAAAAAAGAGATCTATTTTTTGTGGCTGAACTATATACACTTTTGGAACTTAAAAAGATAGATATACGTTTGATATTTGTTTAATGCGAAAAAGAGAATTCTAGAACAGTCTAATGTAAGAACAGAAAACAAACCAAAGGGGTTGCAACCTTTCTGTAACCAGTAGCGCGATTCCGTAAAGCGAGAAGCACACACTCTTACATAACACATAAAGCATAAAAAATTCAATCAATCAGACTTTATTTAATGGAAAGGAAGGAAACGGAAGACTTTGATTGATACATTTTCGAATACATTACATGTTATGCGTTATGCAAGAGTCTGTGTTCCCCGCTTTAGCCTACTTATGTAAACTAGGCTATAGGGTATAGCCATGTTAGCCTTGATTAGTTTGGTCATTATCGGAATTAGAGTATAAGGACTTGTGAGTTGTTACGTGAGAATTCTAACAAAATATATTAATCTTTTATCTTAACTACTATTATATACTTCATAATATGGTAAATGTTAAGAAGACCATGGTCCATTCAAATTTTAATAAAAATTTACTCAATTGATGCGTTTTCTTATGAAAATGAAAAATCTATAAAAAAAAAGTGTCGTTCTGCCCCGCGAACCAAAATATTTTAAGTTAAAGTTGACGACTATGCAGGTTAGGAAATCTGTCACAGTCATCAACACTGCTTCAAAACAAATTATTAGAGTTCTAACTCATGTGGACACCCCCACTGTCCATATGGGTTAGAACTCCGATAATTTGTTTTGAAGCAATGTTGCGTGACCGTGACAGATTTCCTAACCTGCATAATCGTCAATTTTAACTTAAAAATCTCGCAGGGCAGAGCAACACTTTTTTCTTGTAAATTCTTCATTTTCATAAGAAAACGCATCGATTGAGTATATTTTTATCAAAATTTGAATGGACTGTGTTCTTTTTTACCATTTTATAGAGTATATAATAATAGTTTTTATTGAGTAAATTTTTATCAAAATTTGAGTGACTAGGGACTTCTTAACACCCTGTAAAATTACTTAACAATTTGCATTTGACCGAAGAATCCTGGGCAGCTCTTGTAATTTACGATTTCAATTGGTGAATTTTTCGGAATTGGGCAACTATTGCTGAACAAAACAAGTTTTCTGTAATCGCTATGCGAAGATTTATATCATAGCTACATTCTGGAATCTATTTTGTATTTGCTCGTGCTGTTTTAGTGGTGAGTTTTTTTTTCTTACAAAGTAGCTCAAAAAAAAATGTTCAAAAACATTCCCAGGAAAACATCCAATATTCTTGTATAATAATATATTATATTTCAATATTCATTGCCAATACTGTAAAATCTAATTTTACGTTGCATGCTCTACAAATCTTCAATATTGATGGAATACAGCTTTGAATCTCACAATGAACCAACATAAAATTTCATTCCATTCTTTATTGCAATATATACATACAAATGCAATACATACAAGCAAATGGCAAAGTATCAGCAAAACTGCTGTTATAAAGTCAGTCAGTAGTTAGATTATAAAAAAGTATTACACTGACAAAGAAACAAAGAAACCTAACATTCCATATATTACATAAACCTATAAACAAGCACATCATTTAACAAAAAAAATTGACAATAACATTTGAATTTACATTGGCATTTAAGTTTAAAATTAGATACTAAGTTTACATTCGCGCAGACAATAAAGAATTCGCAATGAAAAATCATGCCAAAAAAATAATATCTGATATCATGAAAGCCCAGCAGATCGATTGCCAGCAACATAGCCAGCAGACTGTACAATTTCCAGCATAGCAACATGCAAGCAATCCTATAGGAAAAAAATATTGTATGCCACAAGTATAACAGTATGATACTATAAGTTTGAATTTTGTATTCATTAATATAGATGTAGTAAAAAGAAATCCATTATTTTTGCATGAAATTGAATGGAAAAATAATGAATTTCTTTTTACTACACCTAATACTCAAAGAGAAACAAAAATTGTTAATTCAGAAAAAAAGTGATAGAAAAGAAAATAAAAGATCACTAAAAAGTAACTAATTTCCAATTGTCGAACGTCAAGCCATGATTTTAAGGAAGAAGTAAAAGAAAGAAGGAAAAATATTGGACAGAGAATCATCATATGACAAGAGACTAATATCTGAGATTTTTTTAAAGAAACAGAAAATAAACAAAATAACACGGAATCACTTTCCAATGGATATCTTCCGTTCAATCATTATTCCCATCATAATGTCCCCTCTTATTACATTTCTCTTTTGTCGAAATTGCTCTCACGTTTTCTTATTCCAACAACAAAAATGACATTTAAGTATACCAGCTAAATTTTAAAAGCTCCATTTTAAGAGGTTTTATTAATGATGTAATTGCGGACTTTCATATCCAGGTATTACATTATTTTATTAGATACTGATATTATCATATAGACTTTTAATTAATTTCAGCTTCAAAATTGTAACGTTTTTCTCTATTACTGAAATAGAAATTACATTCATGTAATCAGCACAATAGTAATCAAGAAGAAAATATAGTAAGCGAATATAAGTATCTACAAATGTTGAAAACACTTATATACAGATTTTTTTAAAACAACGCCGCATTGCAACACCGATTGACCAATATGATGCGTAAGAAAGAATTGTAAAAAAAACAATTTATATTACATTATAATTTTTGTCACATTAAGAATGACCTGATAAAATGGGTCGAAAATGTTTTGTCTTATCATTAATTTTAAATTAATTTTGAATTGTTAGCAACGAATATTCAGCTAGGCTTATAGCCGCTTTCATTATATTTTAAAATTTTGCCATAAAAGATGCTAAATCTTTTATGGCAAATCTATGATAAAATGAAAAGAGAATAAATGATATATAAATTATTAACAATGTTATCATTTCGTTATATTTTTTTACATTAGACATATGAGTAATTGATTTTTGTGTACATATATTGTTAGTGTAAGTATACAGGTTTGTCTAAAGAAATTTCAATGCAACTACTGATTTTTAAATTTATTATTATTTACTTCTAAAGTAAAGGAATTTTTTTACATATGTTCACAAAGCACTATGCAAACATCAAACCATAATATATTTTTTATATAACTTCATATATATTTAAAAAGTAGGACTTTTATTTTGAAAACTCATTAATGTTACATTAATGTTACAATAAAGATTATCTTACAATAAAATATAATATTTTCCCAGACGATATTGTATATTTTAAATTGTTATAAACATTCAAATTATTTTTGACTTTTTTAAAAGAATTTATACTATATATAATAAATATAAAAACGTTTAATAATATGATTTTAAATTGAATCGCAAAATGTGTTTTGTTATTAATCACAATAAAAGAAATAATAAAAAATGATTTTCTATATTAGCTATTAATATTGAATTTCTGTTAATCTAATTTTTAATTAATATATTTTATAATATATTTTTTAGTGAATTTATTTTGTTTTATATTTTCAGCAATGAATCCTATGCGATTGACAACTTTCCGGAGCGAGGAGTCAAGATCAACACGTAACGAAGATCACAATATTTTTACAGTTTTACGTTCAAGAACCGAAGAAAAGAAGCAAAGACGCAGACGAGAATGGCAACGCCAGCAAGAGCGAGAGAGACAACATGAAAAATTGAAGCAGCAAAAAATTTTAGAATATGAAAGGAAACGTGCACAAGCTTTAAAAAAATATGCTGAGGAAAAATCGTCACGTCACAGTCAAAGTAAAAGTGATAGTGAGTCTCCCTTGCATGGTCGGTACAGAGGTAGATCTAAATCAACTGCTTCCAAAAGTGATAATGGGTCTCCCTCATATGTTCGATACAGAGGTAGATCTACATCAACTGCTTCCAAATCTGATAATCTCCATGAAAAGTAAGTGTATGATATATGCTTGTATCTTTATTATTATGCTAAGCATTTATTGGTATTTGATTAAAATAAGATGACTTGAAAATCCAGAAAGAATTTCAACGAATTAAAAAAGTAAAAAAGATAATTAGTATAACAAAACAAATTATTTTTAGAGAATATTACCTACATAATAATAAAAATGCATTCATATATTAGAGCAGTGTTATTACATCTTTATTGAAAATTGTTTATTAGTTACTTACATAAACAGTGACACAGACAATAGTAATGATATTTCTTATTTAATTATTTTTTTAAATAGTAAAAAAGACATTTTATTAAGAAAATAGAAAAATAAAAATATTTTTTTAAAGAAGAATAAAAAAAGAACAATTTTTTTAAAAGGATATATCCAGAACTATTTTCCTGAAAAAAATCTGGTTATTTTAACAGTATAATAATTAATTTAACATATTATTAAATTCTCTTTAGATTAGATGAATCTACAAATGGAATAGTACCTTTATTTAGAGGTCCTCAGAATGCACAGATTGATACTTCGGAATTACGTCGAATTAAAGTAGATATTCATAGGAATATTCCTGCAAAAGGACCTGTTACCGAATTAGAAAGAGCTATACTTAATCCTGAAGATGTGATCGTCAAGAGAAGAGAGGGTAAACTGTTAATTTCTATCTTTATGATTTTTTAAAATTCTTATTTTTACAAAAAATTATTATTTAGCTCTTCAGTAAATGAAGAATTGTGTTACAGATAAAGAATTGATTGTATCTGCAATAATAATGACGTGTCTTTATTGTATGAATAGCACAAAACCTTTGATATATTAGCACTAGATGCATATATAGGTTTATTCTTTACATCTATGAAGAATTTATTAGCTAAAAAAATCAATAACGAATTTCTCGAAGATGAGCAAGAGAAATCCTTATAATGATGAACATTGCAAATCTGATTCAAACAATTTTTCAACACAGGAAGAGTATTTTATCCTTTATTTTTAACTTGAGGTTTTTTTCACAAGAAGTAAAATATGTATTGATACAGAAACTTAGAATGTTTTTCTGAAGAGATATTATGTCGCAATTCGAGAAGTATGTTTAACTAATAATTAAATAATATTTAAACAATATAATCCAAATAATTTATTGCATATTTGATACTCTTGCAACAAGAGATTTGTTTAATGTACATTTCAAATATAGTATTTGCTTTAACGATAATTTTATTTAGATTTTTAAGCTATATGCTAATTTTTTTTAAAATATTTAAGTGTTTACTTATACTAAAGCTACATTTAATTAAACCTTTACTTATGTTTTGTACAAAATTTCATTTAACTTGTTTCTATAAGAATATTCCTGTAGAAAGACCGAGTACGAGCGTAGCGTGGAGGACAGCGCGTAAGTCTACCATGTTAGGAGACTATCGAACTTTAGTTCAATCCCTGACAGATCCAAGAAATTTTTACGCGCTCCTCTTCTGGCAAACCACCAAGAATATCTATTGCCAAGAACAAATCTCTTAATACTTCCATTCGGAACCGCATTAAATTATAAGTCTCATATGTCTGTACAACCGCATGCATACACGTCACGGGCATACGTACGAGAAGTAGGCCAGTTCCGACTTTGAGCCATCAGAAAATGAGTGAAATATAAAAAGACCGAATTATGAAGAAATATTCTTAATCTTAAAGATGTGATTGTCAAAAGAAGAGAGGATAAACTGTTAATTACTTTAAAATTTTATTTATGATTCTCTAAAATTCTTATTTTTTAAAATTATAATTTAGCGCTACAGTAAATGAAGAATTGTGTTACGGATAAACTGACAATATATGCAATACTAATAATGTGTCTATTGTATATAGCATAAAAGTTTTGATATATAATAAGCACTAGATGCATCGATAGATTTATTCCTTACATTTATGAAGAATTTACTATAAAAAAATCAATAATGAACTTCATGACGATGATAGGCAAGAGAAATATTCGGAATAATGATGAACATTGCAAATTTAATTCAAGAAAATTTTCAAGAAAGAGTATTTTATCCATTATTTTTGACCAACTTTTTTCACAAGAAGTGTAAAGTATATATTGCAGGAACTTAAAATATTTTCCTAAAGGAATGTTATTTCGCAAATCGAGAAGTATGTTTAACTATAATATCCAAATAATTTATTGCATACTTTATACTCTTGCTCAAGACATGAGTTAAATTTCAAATATAGCATTTGCTCTTACGATAATTAATTTTATTTAGATTTCTAAATTATATGTTTATTTTTTTAATTGAAACATTTAATTAAGCGTTATTTATTTATACTAACATTAAATTATTAACATTACCTTATTTACTTCTGTTTGTACAAAATTTCATTGTTCTTAAAACGTTTTCATTACTTCTCATTGAAATAAATTACATAATTCGAATTTGATAATTCATACATATTATATTACGTGCATTCCTACATAAAAAATTGTAAATTTGTAAATATGATTACGTATTTTTTAATTACTATAAAACCATTTATATATTAATTAAAAAATATTGCTTCACAGGAAATATAATTACACAAATTTTGAAGAGTAAATGATTCAAGTCTGCCAACGAAGATAAGATTAAACTTTTCATTCACTACACGAACGAAGAATAGAAAAATATATAGATATATAGGATTAAATACACATAGAAACAGGAAAATCTTTTTAATGATTTATTTTTAAATTGATTCAATATAGTGAGATAATTTATACAATTTTTAAGTGAATTTTTTTATATATGCGAAAAATTTTTTTTTAAATATTAATTTTCATTATAGCATATTGTTTTAATAATCAGTTTATACAATATTTTTTATTTAATTTGAATTTATTATTACTTACGATTAAATTATAAGATGCTGGAAGATACTGCTATTTGACAAATATCCTAATGGAAGATATTTTCTTTCACGGAAGATATTATATTATATGCTATAAAAGGGATGCAAAGACAGCCTACAATGAAAATCAAGTATATAGAAATAAATATATAAGAACAGGAAATTTTTTTAATGACTTGTTTTTAAAATTTATTTAATATAGTGTGATAACTTATACAATTTTTAATTGAATTTTTTACATATGCGAAAAATTAAAAAAATTGTCATTTCCATTATTATAGTATAATGTATAATTGTTGTTTCAATAATTAGTTTATACAATATTTTTTTATTTAATTTGAATTTATTATTACTTATGATTAAATTGCAAAATAGAGGAAAATACTATGTTTGATGAATATTCTCATGGAAGATATTATATTAATATTATAAAAGGGAGTCGAAAATGATATAAAAAAGCCTACAATGAAGATAAAGTTAAATTTTTTGTTAAGAAGCATATTTAAAAATAGATATGGAAAAATCTGCTCTTTAAAGTAATTTTAAAATTATCTTAATATAACAAAAGCAAAATTTATGTAGTACTTTTAAAATACCGTTTCGAATGTATAAAAATTTTGAAAATAATTTTTATTTATAAGTATGTGGAATAATGGATAATTTCGAGAATTTTACTTTTATATTTTTATGAAGTGAATATTTTCTGATAATCAAATTTGTACTATTTTTCAATATAATTATAAATATTTAATAACGGATCAAATATAAAAAAACATATGTGATTAATTTTTAGCAATTGTTGCATTATATTGTTGTATTATTAATTATAAAACAATTGCAAAATTTGAAATTGTTTTATAATTAATAATTAATTATTTAGTTTTGTAATTATATATATAT